GCAATGGTGATTTGGTCATAGCCCAAGTCTCGTATCCCTGTGATAGTGCTGAGCAGTAGCTGATTGTGCTCTGCCCCACAGGTGGGAGATCGGTAGATGCCACCAAGTAAATGCTTGGTGTGGCCTACGGTGAAATGACACCATATGGAGTCTGGGAGTTCAATAAGTGGTGGGTCCGTTGCGCGAACACATTTAAGTTGCCTATCAAAGTATATGGCAACTCCCCCTCCTTCCTTATTGTCCCTGTCTCTCCTGACCAAAACCATATCACCTATACTGATTTCATTATCGGCGATAATGGGGGTTAGCCATGTTTCGGTGAGAATGATTATTTTCAGTTGTAGGTGTGCTTGGAGATTTCGGAGTTCACCAATTTTTACTCTCAGCCCCCTCACATTGCTATACAGGCAGCTGACAGTGAGTCTTACAACCTCAGCGTGTTGTGGGGTAGTTGACGTGAAGCTGTCTGCTGGTAGGGAACTTAGTGTTGGGACTAATTGGCCAGTTCCGATGGAACCGGCCCATTGTGGTTTTTTCCCTTGGATTTAGGCAGGACACTTGGGTGGCACAGACTGTTATTCTCAGAACTGCATCGCTCGAGTGTCACTGAAGCTTGGGGACGTATTAAAGCCTCAGTTTGCTGCCTCCTTATGGTTCGAGGTCTGCTTTCGCAACATCGGATGTTTCCTCCCAATTTCCCCTTGATCTCATACCACCGTTGAAGTGTTATGGCCAACTGCTCTGGGGAGTTGAATGTGACACTAAGCAGCCTTGGGGAGCTAATCAGTGTGAGATGAGCGGGGCGAGGTAGTCGGTAAACGGAGATGGCTCCAGAAGCGCCAAGGGCCATCTGAGACGACAGCCATCTCCACTGCTGTACGTCATGCATGTGTTTTTCACAGGCAGTGCCCGTTTCCAGCTCCGGGACACCGTGCACTACCATAGAGGTGGAAGGCAAAAGTTCCGGTGACTCCCTTGCCATTTGTCTGACAGCCCATGGTCTGTCTTGTCTCACCCTTATGTTAGAGCTTCTGTCGATGGCTAGTACCTGAGCCATCAATAGTACCTTTTCGGCCTCTTCGGCAGAGTCCAGTGTAACCCGTAATGGGGGTGGCTTACCTTGAGGTGTGTGGACACCCCTGTACAGCCTGCACAATTTCACTGAACTAATATTCAGACCTAGTTTATTGCACAGGTTGGACCACTGTTCCTGATCAAACAGGGCCCGCTGTTCAAGCAAGCTGTCCTTGCTCACAGGTACGTTAAAGAGGATGAGCGAATTAGACCGATTAACCTCAGACTTAGGTTTGGCGTTTGGCTTCTCATATCCCTTTGCAGCATCAGCAACTTTAGGCTTCATCGGGTTCTGACCAGCCTTTATTGTGTTGCCAAGCTTGCTTGTGGATGCAAGTGGTGCTTCTCTAACTCTATCTTTCCTTGATTTTTTAGGTCCAGCCTTATGAATCTTCACCTTGGTAAAATTGGCATTTTCGGTCAGTAGGACAGGAGTGTCCTTCTTACTGTCTGTGCCAAGTTTTGGCAATGTGACGTTAGCAGGTGGGGAGCTACATAAGACCGTGTTGGGACACAAGGGCGGCGTGTTGTTTCTGCTAGCCGCAGACACGCTCTGTGTGACTACACCAGGGCGACAGAGTGGACAGATGTACCAAAACCACGGGCATGGGTTATTTCTCATAAACTCGTAGTATGATTTCGGTACCTCTTTGTCGCAACGGCAGTGCACCCACCGTTTGCAAAAACTGCATTCGAAAGCTGAGTCAGCTTTAGAAACAATGATATTGCACGCCTGGCACTCGTCTCCCTTACTTGGTGACGCCTTCGAGGTCTTATGACGTCTTGAGCGTTTCCTTTTAGGTTTGTTATACTTCACACATTGGCTTTTAGTTGGTGCAGGTGTAGTAGTATCCTGTCCTACTAGTATTGCCTGAGCCGTTTCAGTACTAGACTGTGGCACTGCAGGCATAGTATCCGGACAGACGAGTCCTACACGGGTCTTTAGGATGGGTATGCAATTTGGGGTTGGTGTCCCTGCGTTTTTGCCTTCTCTGGCTGAAGCCCTTGTGACTACAGAGTAAGGTGTTTTGGTGCCATTTTTAAGGTTACTTTCTACAGCCATATTAACTATCGCTAAAACTTATGCTGTATAAGAATAAAAGTGCAACAGTATCTACCCACAAGAAAAAGATTAAGACTGAAAAAGTACAAGACAAGGAAAAGAAAAGGTTTTCGACTTTACCTAGTACTTTCTGGATGATCGGCTTCACAGCAATCACGTGGTAGACCAACAAGTCTTGTTTATCTGAACGAGTGGGGAAGATGCTGCTACAAAAATAGCACCTGAAGCTTTGGCAGTAGTTCGAGACAGCTGGACTTACCACACAGAGATTCGATATGTAAGTAATGGTTGAATTTAATTCACCGGCTAGGAAGATCAGGTTTCCCAAGCGGATAATTCACAAAATAGGTATTTTCCGGTTAGAGAGGAAAAGTCACGTCGTATTCAAGGAGCGCGCTTAGCAGTCAATAATTTTGGGGAATTATTTACCGCTACAAGAGACACAATTATACCATAAGACCACCGCTGAGCTCATGTCGCTTGAAAATTCAGTTGACCACTGTGTGTTTCAATCTGCACGGATAAACAGATTGATCTTTGAGGATGAGAAGGCTAAGGTTCAGTTGATTTGGTGAACTTCTTTGATCCTCTACATAGGTACCGGGTCTCGCGCCCACGCTTTTGGCATGACGTCGTGCATGGATCCTAGCCAGTTACATAGTCATCATCGCTTTGAGTTTCTTTTGCCGATTTCTATCTGGTGCTGTGGATGATCAATCCGTTGGTTTATTTGTCTCTGGTCTCAACAATGGCAAGTATTCTGGGTGTTACAATATAAGCAGTTGCATTTGTATACAGCGTATTTTGCGTAAACGTCGATTAATATGATCTTATATACTGTAATTATGCCTCTCTTAATAGGAGAGTTTCGAGCATCCTACAGCTGTTTATGTTCTCTATTCCTTGACGTCGTTTCGGAGTCCCTGGTGCACATTTACTGAGCTGATGCTGCTTGGATTCCATATTCAGACTTATGACTACGCAATCACTATCATCATACTTTGTTTTTCAGACGCCAGATGAAATAACAGATCATTGCTGGATTTAATAAAGATGGTGAAAATCTCACCAGAAGAAACACTGATACATGGTGCTTCCTCTATTTATGCACTCTTCTGCATAGTCTGAAACCTTTTACTTGCAGTTTTAGAAAAGAATCATAAGTGATCTCTTCCAGTGTTCGGCAACTATCCCTATTGAACTAATTGTGTCAGTGTTCATAGACGGATTTCATTTTACTGGGGCAGCCAATAGTAATAAACCTTATCTTTCGGAATCAGCGAAATAATCAAAAACGTATAACCGTTGTAAAAGCATTGGTATTTCTATCCACTAATCACCTATTTCAAAGTAAACTGAGCGAGGTTCATGGGAATAGCAGATGCGTATATTCCAGTGAATCTGCTGGATCGCTTTCATTTGGATCGAAAATACCGTGGTAGATGCCACCTTTTTTGGTGCATCGTTATCCAAAAGTGCATCTAAGCATCTAATATGGCGCATCGAACATTGCACTTGCAATTAGTCGATACAGTATTACAACGAATGGTCAGGAGTCAACGGCTGCCACTTGCATTTTTCTCTAGAACGGCTGAAAATTTTAGAAACTAAGCACATTACTTTCGATAGGGATATTTTGGCTATTTTGAGTGGTGTATGCCAATTTAGAAATTCGTTGGTGGGTCATGAATTCGAATGTTGGTTTTCAGGGATTTGATTGGTTATGGGTTTGATCGTCAGCTGACATCATTTAGAAAACCACTTGAAAGGCAGGGGTCACTAGACAACTGTTTCATGTTAGTTTAGGACTCTTCAGTAGTACGCACCCATCAGAACATAAAGCAAGGACCTTCCGGTTACAAGGCGAGGTCGTAGGACACTCAGCAACTGAGACTCGGTCCAGTGACGGATAAGCTCCAAAGCAACCACCAAACAATGTCAGTAGCCGTCTTAGACGCTTCTGCACCCCATATTCCCGTATCGACCAAGTACATGTAGGCCTAGTTAGACTTATTTCAAAATCGCAGGGATATATGGTGACTTGCGTCCCCCAAAATACTGTAGGTTTGTTCGAGCAGGAAGGTACAATAGAACTGCAATACATGGATATTATTCTTCAGCCCAAATACATTTACTCGAGGTGAATCAGAAAATCGTAAGCCGAATCAGAACAACAACCAAATCACTCGAAATATAAAATATATGAAGCGATCTAAACTTTTATGCTGAGACACACGCTTAGCGAATTAGGGATTGTGTACATGTAACCGAAAGTGATGCGACAACCTACCAAATGGCGTTGATTCTTGGTAACACACCTTCAATTGCAGTTAACTCAACCATTTCACTCCAACAATGAATGTCACAGCCTAATGTAAAGCGACGGTCAAGTTGTATGCTGCCGGTTTTGTGGGATCGTGTACAAACGAACGCACCACAACGGTGTGCCAAGTGGCGTGGATGCATGACTACGAGCTTTCAGCTGAACGAGTCGACTTAAACAGTGGTCAGCATCCAATACTGAGTGGTAAATGCTGTAGGCTAATAATTTTAGAAAATTATACCACTCTGTACTAAGTGCCCGCCACAAAAATATTACTAAAAGCGTAAAAAATATCGTTTAAAAACAATTATTCAGTTTATTAAGACGTCACTTAATAATAAAAATGTATTACGAAGTTGTTGCAAAAATAAATTATTACAAAAGTAAAGCGTACTTCGTCTCAAATAAAAACAAACAAACAAATAATCCAACGCATTTTCATAGCCTCACCTTACAGTTGTTGAAATGTTTACGAAAAGAACTAAAAAAAGCAAATTTCTGAAAATAACTTTTTCCTAGATCATCTGTTTTTAATTCCTCTTATTTATTTCTTCTATTTGTTTTAAATCTTGTCGACTTAGCCATAAGTATATTAACCGGATGTGTGATTTTTCCATAATGTCTACATGCCCATGTAGTGCGTATATAAGTGAATGGTTTAATTTTAATATATTCTTCACTAGAAAATTCTGTTGCAGTTCTATAAACTGGTAAGAGTGCATATTTGTTAGATTTAGTATTACGAAAATTTGGTTTACTTGAACAAATAAAATTCTTTACAATATCTCCTTTTTCTCCATATAGACCAGGTAGAATGACATTTAATCTTAGATACCATCCAGGTGAATCAACATAGTTCACTTTTTTAAGTGATGTTATCTTCCTCATTTTTTTTAAAAAAAAAGAGGGTTCATGTGTTAAATTATTAATTAGCTTTCAGTAATTATACATGCATACTCCACTTTTTTGGTTCTGTTGATAGAGAACAAAACGTGAATAAGCACAAAGATTAAGGAGACGCATTTTTACAAATTATTTAATGAGGAAAATAAAACGAAATATCCTCTTCATTAGTTGAACACTAATTCTTATATACATATATATACATATATCGATTTTTAACTATTTAAATATACCTGAACAAATAACTGCTTTTACCAACAGTGGATATGTTAGCATATTGTGGAGTAGTCCAGCAACTTTATCCTATCCATATACACCGTTTTGAATTGTGTTTTACAAGAAAATTTAACAGGACAAACTAATCAGGATTTCACCACTAGCAAGCCACAGGAAAACCTGGGAGTACTGGACAGCCAGCAGCTTCGTCAGCCTAGTTTGGGACTCTTTATCAGTACGCATCCACCGGGGTTCGAACTCAGGACACTGGCTGGTGGTCCTGCCATGTCGTGAATTGGTGGAAGTTAGAATTCATGGGCGACTGGATCGGGTCCCAGTGGCGGCTTAATGGTCTACGAGCTAGCTCGCCTTGTAATCAGAAGGTCCTGGGTTCAAACTCCGGCGGTGGGTGCGTACTGATGAAGAGTCCCAAACTAGGATGACGAAACAGCTGGCTGTCTAGTACTCCGTGAAGGTTTTCCAATGGTTCTCTAACCGATGATAATGAAATCCAGTAACACATATCGATCAGATGTATTCATTTTTTCTTCTCATATTTAAATATTGATACAGCATCACTTTGACTTAATGGCTTTATCTTCTCTCATACTAATCTTTGTTCCTTCTAGTGCACTTATTCTACTTCTGTCTGTTCTCTATCCATGTTCAGTTTTGAAATTTAATAAATTTAGCTTTTGTAATTCTTCATAAAAAGTTTACATTAATACATATTTTTTTTTATATCCGAGATTTATGTGTATTTATAACGCCACTGTAATGAATAGATACTTATTTAAACTCTTTACTAGTCATTCTAAAGCGCAGTTTAAATAAACAAATCTCCATTGAACATAGATTCATATACCTGTATTCATTTACTTTTGCATAAAATTAAAGATTTTATGAAGAACTCACCGGTAAGCAATAAACATTTTACTCAACATTCCAATAAAAGAATTGAAATAAAATAATTTCTGTGCGTTAGGATGTCTTTAAGAATGAAAATGTAAGAGTAGACATCAATGATGTCAACAGCTCGCTGGTATTAAAATACTGGTTTAAATATCCGGATGTGCGAAGAAAATTGAGAATAAACTGCGAGCTACCTAGAATGGTGGCCACATTGCAAACTTGACTGATAGAATTCAGTCTGCACCAAAGAAAGGACTAGACACATCACACTAGTTACTAGTGTCCTATCAAAGTATCAAATACAATCCTACAGGAGGTCAGTAGCGAGCCCAAATAGCTCAGTGGTAACATCTGCGATTGAATTACTGGGTGACGCGGGTTCGAATCTCAGAAGGGATATAAGTTCCTTCAAGGTTGCAGATACGCCTTGCTGATGAGTGCCAACTAGTACAAAACCTAGGTTCAAGGCTTCTTACCGACTACCTCCAACCCTGCTAATAACATCAAATCAATGTGCATCGTGATAGCGCGAGCTGCCTAGACTGTTGGCCACATTGCAAACCTGACTGATAGAATTCAGTCTGCACCAAACAAAAGGATCAGACACATCACACTAGTCACTAGTGTCCAATCAAAATAAACTGCTCAAATTTGAGAAATTACAGAGTTTCTTAAGAATATGCGGACGTTCATTTTGCTTCATGACAATATGAAATCAAGGAGTCATATGTGGACGATTCAGTTTATAACCTTTGCTAACCCACTTGTAAAAGCGTTTCCTCATCTTAGCTCAAAACTGTGAGAAAAGTTATTCAGCTTCAGGATTCATTTGTTTTTAGATCGCTAAAATCTTATATTAGTTTCAAAGATTTCTTAGTATCAGTGCTACTGAATGAAGATTTTTTATAGGCCTTATCAGATTCTTACTTGTTCACACATAATACGGCGTCATATCTGCTCAAAAACTGCTAGATACACGTCAATAAGAAACACAGTGCACACTGGCTAAAGCCATTCGACTGTTGTTTTTTGAATGAAGATATTATAGTTGTTTAAGGTATTCAGTTGGTAAGCCGATGTTCATGCTATTTAAATCAATATACTAGCATAGATAGTAGATACTGTCTAGTAGTGGTACATTTGTGAACAATGAACAAACATCTAACGAAATCATACGCAACTGACAAAGTCAAAAGTGTCGGAAAGACTATGTTCACATAGATTTAATCTAACTGGTTCCAGAATTTCCGCAAGCCATTTAGCGGTAGAGTGATACGGCGAGCCCAGCATATCCAATACAAGTCACAGAGGGACATCATCTTTGTGCACCTTTGGAAGACCATATAAACCTGGGATAGTTGAACCAGATGGTTTAAGCTGTTCATACATATGTGGAGTAATAATGCATTCATTCTTGCTTCAATTTCGTCAAAGTTTTTGATAATTCCTTCTCAATATTCCCCGTCTTGTCTTTTTGGTTGGGTGATTTTTGAATTTTTTCTTCATCACTCAGGATGGTGCATAATTTATTGACATATTCATCACAATTAAGAATAACAATACCTGATCCTTTGTCTAGACGAATCAGTATTATGTTTTTGTTGTTCGTTTGTTAACATTTGTCGTTGTCTGCTTTGCGTTCTTTGGTACCGGTAATAAAAATGAAGTATTGCATATTTAAATTGTTCAACGTCTTCGCTAGACGTTGGAAGCAAGTCATGTGTCTGAGTCATGAGATTTTCAAACTGAACTTCTGTGTCGAATTCGTTAACTCTGGACGAAAAAGTAGAGAAATTCGGACTAAGAGATAGGATTTACATTTGAATATCTGACAAAGATATATTCGAATAATTAAAAAACATATTTCTCTGGCGAATCTGGAAACTTCATGTGTGAGATTCGATTGTTTTGCAACTTTTCAGTATATTTATTCTAACATCTCCAAATCTTTTCTTTATCACGTCAGAAATATAGTCCTCGAACAGGCTACGTTGTCAGTGACAGAAACTATTATTCACTATATATATATAAATCTTAGACAATCTAATTAAAGTAGTACGACGGCAAGAAAAATAAAGTTTGTCTAATAAAGTTGAAAAATGCTCCGTAAATCTGCAGAATGATTTGTATAATTTACGCATTCATCTGTATAACGACATCAGTATATTTTTCTTGGCAAAATGCAGTTATTTTTAACACTCAAAAGGGATATACTCTACCTAGTTCATTGCGTTTTTTAATTATGTGTATGAGAAGCCTATTAACTTCTTCAAATGACTCACATAATTCTGAGGTATCTATCCATTATTAAATTTGATTTTATTGTTCTACTGTTGAATGAATGAAAGAGCAACTAAGCTTTTTTGATGTAAAATGTAGATTCTTTGAAACAAATCGTTTAAAGGAGAGTTGATTCAAATCAGTTAGTAATTATAAAGTAATTTACTTACTTTTACTTTACTTTGGCTATCTTCTATGGGAGGATGAACCGGCTTCATGAACATCTCGAATCATCGCTACCCAGGCGCGGCGATCTGATGCGGAGAGTTCATGGAGTTTCATGGGAATTTGGTACGAGTGATGTCTCCAGAATCGCTCGACCTTTTGTTTGAGAGTGCAGCTCTAGCCTTTACACAACCAAGTGTGACCTACAAGGCAGTAGGAGTAGAGTAGGGAGTCCACTATCCATTGGCAGCCGGTGACCGGAGTTCGGTTTATACGCCTTTTTGAATGGGGCCAGACATCCAGGACATCCAACAAGCCCTTTGTCCATACGTCTGCCGGTGAGCTCCAGTGAGCTTCATATGCCAGTCGTTGGAGGTTTGGAATCAGGGTTTAGCCATCTCCCCTAGACTGTCATCCAGTGGACAGTCAACCCGGTGAAGAGCGCCGGGCATCCGCTTTCGCCCTCTCACTTTGGTGAAAAACACCTCCGCCACGTGAAGGCAGTGAGTAGGACTTCCTCAGGAGAGGCTATGTAAGACGCCCGGTCATATGGGAGCATTTCAAGAGGTGTGCGGAGGGGTGGCCAACCCGCAGCGCAAGGCACCCACCCCCGACCATCCTGAGGCTTTGGAGGTGGTGGTAGTGGAATCCAGAATGCGCATCTCATCCTATTCGGGACTCGTCATCTGGATGTAACTGAATTCTCCAGTAAGTGATGCTGTTCTCACTGAGACTCGGGCCCCAGTACTCATTGTTTTGAACACCGAAGCATTATCCACTAGACCACTTTGGCCACGTCAGCCACCTCTTGTGCAATGGGTACCAGTTATTATATACTTCAATTTGGAGTATCCTGTTGATTGACTGGATCGAAGTGTTCAGCCTGGATCCACTGCTAGTCACCAATCATCCAATCACTTGAAGTTAAATCCTTATACATCGTTGGGGTATCCTCACAAAGAGCTGATATGTCAACGGATATCGGACACTTCGGTCCAGTCAATTAACCGGAAAATCCAAACTGAATGAAATAATCAATAATTGAATGATTTGAAGTAGATTTTTCTCCTATCCAGTAGGAAATCAGTAGTCAATACTACACTTATATTATCATTATATGCGTATGAAACAGAAATTCTGTTTAGTAGGACTTAATGCGTGGGTTGTTCAAAATGTTACGTAGAAGTTTAGTAGATATGAGTATTCTTTACTTACATTTTAGTTTATCGATCTAATTCAGCCGATTTCACTGGCGTTATTCTCTAATGGAGTGAATCCAATTGTTTTTTTACTAATTAGAAATAAAATAACTTTTTAGGTATACTGACCTATCTTACCAACGAAAGTAATGAAAACTAAACACATGAAAGTAAATAAAAATGGGAATATAAAATAATATTCATAATAAGAAT